GTCGTGGTCCGCCATCATTCACATACAGAAGCATGGGTGATCGCATACAAAACTTAGTAGGGGGGTTCCATGACAGGTCACTTCGCCGAAGCAAAGGCTACCTGCCACGTACTACTCCCGATTTCGTCTTTGTGGAGTTTTAGCCTATCGGCCAGTCATCTACAATGCAAGACTTTGCCAAGTGAGCCGCAATGGAACTCTTGGACTTGGTTGAGTGAGCACAACAGCTGCAACAGATTTAGAATCAATGTCATCTTATTGTTCAACACTCGTAGGCGGTCTCCCCGTTGTCGAAGGCCTTTCCACCGAAGCGAAGCAGTCTTGACCCCAGGGACCTCCTAGGACTTTTTGGTACGAATAGCTTTCCCGAAGGATGGATGCCAGAACATCTCGCCATGACTGGCAAGCCTATGCTCTCCACCAAAGCACCATGAGACGAATTACCAGAGGAGACAATGGCCCGAAGACCCAGAACAACTGATCAGACGCCCGCAGAGAGCTTTGCAAGTCCAAGTGTTTTAGAAACGCTTGAACTTCTGCTAGATTACTAAGTGAACAGAAGGTATTAATCGCTGCTCATAACCCAGGGAGGCACCAGCAAGCTGGTGTTCAGAGCCTCATTACAAGCACTCCTAGACTACCACGAGCGCAGCAGTCCTGAGGCGACACTATCGCGCACCTCGTTCCTCATACAATACCTGTGGTGTCAATTTTGGGCGAGTGCGCGAGTTTGAATTTTTGTGTTTGTAGTGGTGTGCTGGTAGGTACCCAAGTTTGACGCACTTCTGAACGCATATGACATTTCAGATCGCGACCAGTATACGCTGGATCTCGACGCTGAGTCCACATGCATCAAGCTGCGTACGTGTAAGAGTTGGACGGCGGTGTGGCGAAGCTGTGGCTGATGGCACGTGCAAATATGGATCTATCTCAAACTTTCTACTGTTACGTTTCTAATACAGTCTAGCAAGGAGTATCAGCACCTCACAAGGCTGGCTAGTGATACGTTCCGTCGTGTGTCGAGATGTTATCGCAATAGCTGACCTATAACATATGCTATAGCTTGAGAAGTGTTTGCAAATTGGCTTGTACCTGATCTGTTTCATGTTACCACTGCAAACTTGAGTGTCTTGCCGAGATTGACAAAAGTTGCTGATGTAAGGGTACCAAACGGTGGTTAAAGATCACACAGACACTATAGAGGTGTTACCTCGTGGAATTGAAGCTGATGTGACTGCTTCAGACGCAGTTTCATGGTCAGATGCTTGTATAATCGACCATAAACGAATCTGGCCTAGTCAGGATGAGGCTCAAAAAATCTGGAAAAAAGACTGGAGCTTCTGTTAGGTAAGAAGTATGACTTGATGTATCTAGCTTCACATGATCTGCCTATACTACGGCAAGAGAAAATGCGCGGTGTGGGTCATGAATGGCCACAACTTTCATGGCCGAGTGTGGAGCCGGTCATGAATTTTTATGGCCTCTTGTGGCCTCAGACAGGGTGTTTGTGGACGAAATGCGCGCGCGACCCAAATTTCATGGCCGCGCATGCGAGTCTGTTCGAGCCGATCCTTTGATTGCGGCAAGTCTTGTGCTGTCCCAGTACAAGCTCAGAGAATGCGCACGGTGTTTTGCCAAGATCAAAGCTTCTGGCGGCTGACTTAAGGGCGAGATCTGCCAGGCTTGGTGGCCAGCAGTTTGCCGGTGTCAAAGGATCTGGCAAGCGTGAAGCTTGGGCATTGCACGTGGGACATTTGATGCTGACAAGCTTAGCAAGTGTGGGTGGTCCTGGACATGGAATAGCACCGAGACTTGCCCATGTCAAAGGATCTTCCAAGGTTGTCTGCGAGATCCCGTTCAGGCGCTGCGGGTGAAAACCTTTGATGCCGGCAATTGTAATTTGTGCTGGTTCCTCAACTGGAGCAATTCAGAGTTAAAACCTGCTTGACTTTGCCTGCGTCAAAGGATTTCAGCCTGATCTGGAAACTGGACGGGTTCAAGCTCTGAGTCTAGCGAGGGACTCAGATCCTTTGATGAAAGCAATAACTTGTGAGCGAACCCATGATCGTACGCACTTTCACATAAGGTAGGCAGTAGCCTTGCCAAAACCAAAGGTTTCATGACTACCTTGCTGCCAAGCCGAATCCTTTGATGCCGGCAAGAAATCGTACGGCTGATCACCCTCAAACTACAAAGATGCTGGTAGCAGCAAAGCTCATAGCGCTGCCCAGTAGCATCTAATTCCTTTGATGAGGCAAGGAATCGACAAAAGTCTAAGGATATGGAAAGGATTTGGACTCCATACCTATATCTGAATATACCTTGCCAATATCAAAGCATTCTGTAGCTGCCTGCTGCCAAACTGAATCCTTTGATGCCGGCAAGAAAACTGAACCGCTGACCAAAAAGTCCAAGGTTGAGGGTTCCATACCCAAATCCACACCCGTGCCTGACTGTGTTTTGCCAAAATCAAAGCATTCTGTCCAGCAGAGTGAGATCTATGTACACTAGCACACTCGATATTTTATTCATCAAACGCTACAACAGCACTCACTATCCATTAAAGCAGAGCAAAAAGAACGAGCTCAAGACACTTGACCTGGCCGAGCAAAAGAAGAGGAACTGCAGCAACCCGGATTCCCATCTGGTCTCCCACGATAGTACTAACGAATCCCTTCCATGCTTGACTTTGCTGATCGGACGGGAAGCAGTATTTTCATGGAGGTATGGCCGCAGATAGAATGAAGCTTTTTTGCAAGTACATATACAGTCAATCTGAGCACAAAAAAAAAGGACAAGTCGATGATGGCAAAGTTGGGAACCATTCATCACTCAGCATAAGAGCTGCGTCAGCCAAGCAAGCGCTGCTCGCAGCCAAGCTCGGCCAAGCTATAAAGACACACTCGCATCTCATCCATTCCCTCCTTGGGCACGACTGTTTGTGTACACACTCTCCTTCTTCCATTCTGGTTCCGCTGATTTCAAGTCAACAGGATCACAATGGAGGGAGGAGAAGTGTGCAAGGAGCACAAATCTAGAAGTCACAAGCTTAACCTCAGCAGGTCGTAACAACAAGGCTACTTCACTGCTTACAGTACTCGGACTCACATTTAAGTCGTCTGCAAAGGATTCATCCCCGCGCATATTTCAAATTGCCATACGAGTTCGAACTGCCCTGGCCTTTCCGCCCGAGCAGCCGGTGAACCCATGATACGATACAGGAGCAAAGCTCTATTCATATTCGTCTAAGATGTGCGAGGGTAGGCATCAACCCGTTCTGGCATGGATTCTGACTTAGAGGCGTTCAGCCATAATCCAACAGATGGTAGCTTCGCGGCAATGCCTTGTCAGACAGCCGCAAAAACCAATTATCTGAAACGACGGTTCCTCTCGTACTAAGTCGTATTACCATTGAGTTAACATTCATCAGTAGGGTAAAACTAACCTGTCTCACGACGGTCTAAACCCAGCTCACGTTCCCTATTCATTTTAGTACCGGACTTGGTCAAGGCCATTTCCTGCCTAGACTCGTTGATGTCCTCGCTGAGATCTGGACTGTAGGTCCTTCGCTCGGCGACTCGGTTTCCCGAGGGATTGGCACGTCCCTTAGGCTCTCTACGTGAGAAGAGCCCACACCTTTCCGCGCTCTACACAGGTCTTGCTGGATCGCTCCAGTAGACTCTGCTCGGGATTAGCATAGATTACAAGAATCCTTAGCCTTCCCCGATCCAGGTTGTGTTGCCGGCTGACACCTACAGATACTTGTCAGCTCGACTAGCCAGCATAATACAATTTCTACTTGTACCTGACTATTCCCACCAATAGGTAAATTTTTAGTGGGTGAACAATCCAACGCTTACCGAATTCTGCTTCGGTATGATAGGAAGAGCCGACATCGAAGGATCAAAAAGCAACGTCGCTATGAACGCTTGGCTGCCACAAGCCAGTTCCGTACTACCAGTCTTGACTCTATCATCAAAACTTCTTTGCTTCTCGGTGTGTGCCACCGGTAGACAAGACACTCTCTCGAGTGGGCGTAGCCCGTACCTTAAGCCGCAACAAGTAAATTGAATTTGCGACCCACAACTTTGCGAGCGTTGGACCCTCCAGCCTGCCGAAGCATTGGGCCAGAT